GAGGGGCTGGCGAGACCGGGCCGTTCGCCCTTGGCTGCTTTGCCCTGAGTGCCGAGGCCCCGCTGGCTCGAGGCGGCTCCCTGGGTCGTTCTTGAAGAGCGAGATCTCTTGCCCGGCCCTGGAGCTTGCGGGCAGAGGGGGTGAAAGGCCTGAGCAAGCAACTCCTGGGAGCGGAGCACGGAGGTGGGTGGACGGCAGATCCTGCCCGAGCCGGGCCCAGGCCCAGGCCCTGCTGGCTCCAAGAGCAGCGCGTGCTGTGGTGGTGCCGGGGGGCAGCAGGGTCTGCGCCTGGCTCTGTACGGAGGGCTCCTAGGCCTCTGGTCCAGGCACCGTGGGCGGCCGTGCCCAGCCAGTCGGGCAGGGTCTGTTTGGGAGAGAAGCGAGACAAGATCCCCCTTCCCTTCTGCAGGTGACGCGGGGCATGCTGAGCCGGGGCTCGTGTCCCTAGATGCCCTTTGGGCTGGGCTGCCCTTCTGCTGAGCTGTGGGCAGCCCAGAGGATGCTGGCAGCTCCAGTGCGGTAGGATCCTGCCGTGCACCCTGTAACTGGATCCTCTGGTTTGTGTCCCAGGGCCCCCGCCAGTGGGAATCTCCAGCTGGGCAGCCGCCTCCACGGGGCATGAGCCAGGTGCCGGTGGGGAAGAGACGCTCACAGCTCATGAGAGGTACGTTCACCGTACTGCCTCCAAGCGATGTCCCACCTTCCCATACCACCTCCGGGTTGCAGGCAGCACCAGAGACTGCGGAGAAGGGGGCTGGTTCCCTGCCCGGACAGGCAGTTGGGTGACCTTGAATCTGGTGACGGGCTTTCTGGTCTGCATCTGCAGTGGGAGGTACTCTGGCCTCCATCGTGGCTGCCTGGCTGCGTGCAAGGTTGTCCAGTGTGGGGGTTCCTGTTCTCCCTAACCACACACCCTGTGCTTTCGGTCGAAATGAGCAGCTTCTGGCCTTCCCCAACCTGCTGCTGGGAGGTGGCGTTGGCTGCCCTGTTGCAATGTAGATGTATTTGCATGGAAAGCCCCTGGGGCTCTTCAGTGGGAAGGAGGCCACAAGATTAGCCTGAGTCTGGGTCCCAAGCAGCAGCAGTGGGCTGGCTTTCGGCACGATGAGCCTTGGCACTTGATTTTCAGAACTGGCCTGCAAGTGAGCTGCGCCTGGCCTGGGGTTGGGGAAAGGCAACATCAGCACATCGCTGTCCTGCTGGGATGCAGGGGCCCAGAACAGGGAAAGGACTTGCTGTTGGTCACACAAGCTGTCCGTGCTGCAACACAGGAATCTTGGCTCCTGGCGCTCAGTGGCTTCCATTGCTCGCAGGGACCCTGGCGTTCTGTCTCTCAAGAGATCAGTCTTGCTCAAGTGATGCTGCTTTAAGTCTTCTGTGCTGAGCTTTCTTCTCCCCTTCCCACCAGGGTTCTCCTCTCCGTGGTCTCCACGATGCCCCAAGCCTCTGAACACCGGATCAGCCGCGGCAGGGAGCAACCCGTTGTTACATCCCAGCCTAAGGCTACCACCAAGCTCCCCAATGGACACCGGGCCCTGAGCCAGGAGCGCCACAGTTCTGTCTTGGCAGCCCCGTCTGTCACCAATGGGCTCTCTCCTGTTCCCAAACTTCGCCTCTTGCCCTCCCGGCCCAACCCACTAGACGATCGGGGAAAGAAGCTGGAGCTTGACAGGGGTCGGGCCTCAAAGCGTGGTGACGCTCTGCGTGGCTCAGCATCTAGGCGAGGGCCACTGAAGGCGGATCATGCAGTCAAGGTGCCCAGCTCTCCACAGCCTGGCACCATGTCGGGCAGTGCCTCTTTCTCCTTGCCATCAGGGGCATCACTGGCAGGGCGGGACTCTGAGCGCAGGAGAAGCAACCTCCTGCGCTCCAAATCCATTAGCATTGGGGACCTGAGCCAGGCAGGGGGGCGTGGGGAGGAGGTGAGCACCGTGCTGAGCCGGCTGGAGCTGAGAGACCACAGCCCATCCTGCAGCCACAAGCTGGGACTTGGGGTTGTGGCCCTGAAGAGGAGCTCCTCGCTCAGGAGGGTCAACGTGTCCCCAGGACTGGATGGGAGGCCCATGGCCACGCTGCTCTCAGTCCGTCCAGAAGGCTGCCTGAGGACTCACACCGCTGACCCCCAGACCTCGGAATATGCTCGTCCCCAGGACCACTCCATGTCTGGGAGCCCGCTCCAGAGCAAAGCCCCAACTGCAGGCAGACCTGAGGAAAAGGTGTTTGCTGTAAGAGCTCTTGATCTGTGCTGGGCCTGGTGGGTGGTTCTCTGCATCGCCAGCCTACCGCTCTGCCCCCGGCTTGTTGGGGCAAGCAGGGAGCCTGGTGACCACTGCTGCTTGAGCGCTAGCTATGTCTGCCACTGTGGGAGAAGCCGTGGCCTTGGGGTAGCGGCAGCAGTCTGCAGCCAGCTCGGGCACTTGAGAAGGAGAAGAGGGACTGCTTTCAGCTCACCCAGCCCTCAACCCCGCTAGGGGAGTCTCGACTGGATACTGCTCACTGAGCTGGGCTCTCTGCATGTCGCCTCATTTCCATGAGTGTCAGAGCCCCAAGCTTGGGCCTCCTGGGTGCTGTGATTCTGCCTCATGCCTGCCAAGCAGCTGAGATTGAAGCCAGCGCTGTGGGCTTTGCCAGGCCTGCTGTCCCTCTGGGCACTCAGCCTCCACGCTGTGGTGGGCGGCAGAGCTTCTGTGCTCAACATTGCTGCCAGCACAGTACGCAAAGCAGAGCAGTCCTTGCCCGCTTGGGCCCTGGAGCTGGGGGAGGGGCACAGGGCAGCCAGAGCTGCCATGGGAAAGTCCCTTGTCCACCTGCAGCCCCCGCCTGTCTCAGCAGCAGCCCCTCCTTTGCAATGTACCCAGCACTGCCACTTCTGCCACCAGTCCTGTGCTGCTGTATGACAATGAGGTCCCCTCAGGCAGGAGATGGCAGGGCTCTTGGAGATGGCAGAGCACTGCAGCGCCTCTGTTGTCTGCCCCAGGAACTGCACCACCCTGGAAGGGCCATGGACACCTGGTGGGGAGGTCAGCTGTAGAGAGCAAGCCTGAGAGCGTGGGTGGGATCAGGATGCCCTGGCTGAGATTTGAAGCAGCCAAAACCCTGGTCAGGATTGTGCCCCAGGATAGGTCTGGCTCAAAGGGGCCCTAACAGTGAGGCCCTGACCCTTTGACAGTGTGCCCTCATGCCTGAGCTCCGATCTGCCGGCTCTGGCCTGCCCCCACCACACCTTTCCTCCATCCCGCCACCACTGTCCTCTTACCAACGCAGCCTCCCCAGTGTTTGTACCTGGTGCCTACTGGAGGTGTTGCCACTCCTCTCCTCTGGGAGATCTCTGCTGACTGTGTCCCGACCCTGTTCTGGCCTGTGGTAGCAGGTGGGAGAGCTGGGCATGAGGAAGCCAGGGCCCCCCGGTCAGTCGGGCACACTAGTGGTGGCTACAGGGCAGGCGGGGGGCAGGTGCACCCCCTCTTTGGGGTGCTTTGCCAGCAACTGCTGTAGTGTGCGTGGATGTATTTGCTGCCTCTGTTCTGTGGTTCTTCAAACACCCCTGTCCCCAAAGTAGCTCTCCTTGCTAATTAATCCCAGCGAGATGAGCTGAGAGCAGGGCCTGGAATAGCCAAGGGAAATCGGCTCAGCTAATGAGCTGATGGCTTAGTAAGGCGGGGTGGGGGGAACCCTGGTCCTGCATCAGGTGCCGCAGAGTCAGCGAGCTTACTCCAGCTGCCTGCTCCGCTGTGCTGCATGAACCATGCCGGGACTGCAGGGTGCCACCCTGGTGGAGCTGCCACGGAAGCTGCACCAGACCCTGGCCACCAAGCGGGAGCTGCAGGGCAAGGGGGCCGACATCTCAGAGTCTGTGGTGCACACAGCAGTGATGGGACTGCTGCTCATGACCAGTGAGGTAATGCAACTGGGGACAGCAGGGTGCCCCTCTCTTGACCCCTGGCTTCTGAGGCGGGCTGCAGCAGGGACCCAGCCCCAAGGCTCACAGCAGCAGCCTGGCACTCTCCTATCAAGCTCTCACTCTGCAGACTCGCTTTGGAGTCCTGTTTTGCCTGGTTGTCAAGGAGCTGAAGTTACACGCCTCAAATTGACAGCCTGCTGGGGCAGCAGGAAGGTGCTAGTGCGAGGGAGATGAAGGGGCTAGAGAGGAATGAGTGGGATGGCCCTGGTGAATGGGGGTGGGCTGGGACTGCTGCGGGGTTTGCAGATAGTGCAGCAGGGTGTGGGCAGGTGGAAGGGGCTGGGATGGCTGCCTGGGTGTGTAGGTGGCAGTCTCGGGGGGGTTGTTGCTGAAGTAGAGCTGGGCTGGGCTGGTGGGGTTTGTGCATCTGTTTCCTGCTACTAGGAGCCATCCACATTGGTGTCATGGCCCAGGTCTTCCCTGCCAGCACCTGCAGTTGCAACATCTGTACTCCTGGGTGTTCAGGGCTTATTTCTTGTTTTTCCTCAGACTCATCACACTCTCCTCTTGGGCTCTGGGCACATCGGACTCCGAAATCTGGGCAACACGGTAAGTGCCCAGTGAGCGCTGGCCAGAGCCTGTTTCTGAATGGCATCTGGGGATAGCACTCGGTACCTGGGGAGGAGCAGGTGCTGCAGAGGAAAGTCCGAGGGGCCTGAAGCCCCACCCTTTGCCAGATTGCTGAACTGGGCCATGTCCTGCGGACTAGGGCTGTGGCCCTCTTGGAGGCCACCCCTCTGGCCGCTGATCTGGGGCATGTCCATCATGTGCAGACTGCTGGCATGAGCTCTAAGCCCAATTAGCCTGGAGCTGGGAGCTGTGTCAGAGGGCAGGCGAGGCCAGGCCATTTGGTGCCAATGGGGCTGTCCTGCTCCTGCCCAGTGCAAGTATGGGTTTCTGTACGAGGTTGCCATCTGCCCTGGGTCCTGTGTGGCTCTTGCACCCTGACAGGGATGGGCCACACAGCCCTATGAGGAGTCCATCTAGTGCAGGGGTGGGCAAAATGCGGCCCGGGGGCTGGATGCGGCCCACCAGGTCATTCTATCTGGCCCGCAGGGCCCCTAAAAAAATGTAAAAAATTAATATTAATCTGCCCTGGACTGCCTGTCATGCAGCCCTTGATGGCTTGCCAAAACTCAGTAAGCGGCCCTCTGCCCAAAATAATTGCCCGCCCCTGATCTAGTGCATAGTTCCTTCACGTGGAGTGGCAGCCCCCTTGGGAAGCCCATCGGGGCCTCCTCAAAGCAGCTGCTGGCCAGGTCTCTGCAGTGATCTGGGCCCTTTGGAAGGGTTAGGGTCAGCCAGGCTTCACGGGTGCCCCTCTGCCTGTTGTCACCCAGGTGAAAAGCTTTGGCCTGTGTCCCCATGCCTGTTACTGGGTGCAGGGCAGGATGGGTGGCAATCTGTCTGGGGGCCCCTGCCCAAGAACATGGTCTGCTCTGGAACTTGATGGACCTCCAGACTCTCCCCTGTGGGCTGAGGTTCTTCTGGGTGTCCAGATGCTGCCTCCCAAGGGCTGGGAGTTGTTCCAAGCTCATAGCCTTCTGATGCTTGTGGTGCTGTCTGCAGTGCTTCATGAATGCTGTGCTCCAGTGCCTGAGCAGCACCAAGCCCCTGCGTGACTACTGCCTGCGCAAGGAGTTCCACCAGGAACAGCCCAGTGCCTCGCGGGCCCAGCAGGAGCTCACCGAAGGTAGGCAAGTGGGTAGAGAGGAGCTGTGTGTACCAGTTAGCTCCTGCCCGGTGGGTCTCAGCACACTGCTCCTGGCATCTCACAGCAAGCAGGGGGCAGTCTGGTCCATGAAGAAACTAATCTCACCTACTGACCGACTTTGAATAAACACCTCCCTTTCCTGGCTTAGCCAGAGGGGCCCAGACCTGGATGTGGCATTGCACAGCCCTTTGTGGAAGGGCAGTGGGGATGGGACTCGCTGCCCAGGCGTGGACTATGCCTGCCTCATGCTGGGCTATCCATAGCCCCATCTGCAGAGAGGAGTGAGCTAGGGGCTGAGGGAGGCTGTGATCCAAGGGCACGTACTCTGGAAGCGGGCAGGCATGGGGCAGCACCCGAGGGCACTCACTCGAACAGTGTCAGAAGAGAACCCAGGTGTCCTGTTCCCCGCCCCCCTTGCCTTCTCCCTGTGCTCTACCTGCTGTCCTGTTTTGTGAGGAGGGAGTAGTACCCCTGTAGCTGCTATGTCCCCTCAGCTGGAGTAATTTGCAGGGGCGGGGCAGTTTTGGTTCCCTTTTGGGAGAGAGGGTCTTTCTGGGTGTTCCCCAACTTCGTCCACCCCCAGACCAGGCCTGGGGAAATTGACCTCTGCCAAGTCTCACAAAAGGAAGCCAAGACTTCTGTCCACTGCACCCTGCCCAGCTGCTGCATGTGGTGGGGGCTGTGGGGAAGTGGTGGAGGGTTTGATGTGCTATTGTGAGCTGTGGATTCCCTTTTCCAGCATTTGCAGATGTCATCACTGCCCTGTGGCATCCTGACTCCACTGAGGCTGTGAACCCCGGGCGCTTCAAAGCCATCTTCCAGAAATACGTCCCATCCTTCACAGGCTATAGGTGAGCCCCCACACTCTGCCCCTGCCCCAGGGAAGTGCTGTGTCGGAGAACATGAGTGCAGTCCCTGTAGCCACAGTGGCAGCTGGCACACCAATCCCACAGAGAGAGCCATCTGGCCAGGCAACACTGGGCACACTCTGGTTCTTAGCCATGGTTTTGGGAGCATAGCAGAAGGGAGCTCCTCTAGAGGGACTCCCCTGGAGCTGACTCAGCCCAAAATAGGGAAAGTGAGTGGGGACAGGCAGAGGCTGGACCCACAGAGACAGCAGCTGTGGGACAACTCTGCAGAAGTCTGGCTGCCAAGCTCCACAGCCTGATGCTCCAGTGCTGGGAGCCTGGTGGGGGAACCTGGTGGGAGGTGGCAGGGATGGAGTGGGGAAGCCAAAGTCAGAGAAGAAGATGGGGGAGGTGCCAAGGGGAAGGAGACCCTGGGTGTAGAAAGTAGGTGCTACACCCTCTAGTTGTGGAGGGTTCTGGGTGTAAGGAGGGGCCTCATGTGCTGTCCCTGTCTGCAGCCAGCAGGACGCTCAGGAGTTCCTGAAGTTTTTCATGGACCGGCTGCATGTGGAGATCAATAGGAAGGGGCGCAGGACCCCCAGCATCCTCGCAGATGCCAAACGGACCTCGGTGCTGGAGGACTTGGATGCCCTGAGGTAAGCTGGGCTCAGGCTTCGACCCCAGAGAGGTATAGGGAGGTGCTAGTGCCTAGAGGCAGCAGGCTTGCCCCTCTCAAGACTTATCACTGCCCTCCCTGCGTGGGATAGGCCAGGCTGTTACTGGGGGCACTGGGGCAGCATGGCTGGGAGGGCTGCAGCCAGGGTAGTGGGGTGAGGGCATGCTGGGAGCACTTGTGCTCTGACTCCAGCTGGAGGTGGTGCAGCGTGAACCAGGCCCAGGCACTGCAGCCTGGGCTCTAAGGTGGGTGGTTACTTGGTGGGTACTTTATGCAGGTGGGGCTGGGCCTCCACTCTTCTGGAAGGGCGAGCAGCTCTCACTGTGCCTGGCACCAGAGTGTTTTAGACGGGCCCCTGAGGACATGAATTCTTGCACAGGCAGATGCCTCTGCAGGACTTGGTGCAGTTGAAGGGTCACATGGAGCCTTTCCTGAGGGCGCTGGGGCAGCTCTCGTCCTGGGCACCAGCACTGGACAACCAGGCAATCTGGACTGTCTCCCAGCAGGGTGGGGGTTCCTGGAGCACGTTCATCCCCCTGAGGGCTGGTGGCCACAGCAGGGATGCCTTGCAGTGTAGGAAGGGCTGCTTATGCCAGGGGCTCCTACCAGCCTCTCCCTGGCATGCCTGCCCTCTGCTAGCTGCAGCGATCCTCTCCCTCCCCTCCTAGCGATGACGAACGAGCCAACCAGATGTGGAAGCGCTACCTGGAGAAAGAAGACAGTAAGATTGTGGGTGAGCTGAATGCACCTGCCCTCCCCTGACCTGTTGCTCTGGCTGCACGGGCACAGTCTCTGCTGCCCCCTCCATCCCTTCCTTTGACCCTGCAGCAGGGGGCCCTGAAGGGGCAGTTTGTGGTTCCATCGGCTATTGGGGCACTGCTTGATGCCAGGCAAAGGTGGGGCAGATGTACTCATACTGTCCCTGTTCCTTGCAGACCTCTTTGTTGGCCAGTTGAAAAGCTGCCTCAAGTGCCAGGCCTGTGGCTACCGCTCCACCACCTTTGAAGTCTTCTGTGACCTCTCCCTGCCCATCCCAAAGGTAGGGTTGTGGGGCAGGGTGGCGTGCACATCCTGCCGGGGTCCCCTCTGTGCTGGACAGATGGTGTTCCCTGCTTCTGGCCCTGCAGCTGTGGGGTTGCCTCCTTGTACTGCCCTCACCCGTAGCACATGCCTGCAGCTGTCTCCAGGTTGCTCCTGGGGCTCTGCCCTGCAGAGCAAGCCCCATGCTGCTCCCCCTCCCCACCCCCTGCATGCCCCTTTGGCTGGGCAGGGAGCATAGTTGTACCAGGAACCTGCTGGCATTCCTAGGCCTCTCAGGCTGGGCTGAGCCTCTCCCTTCTCTCTCTGTAGAAAGGCTTTGCCGGTGGGAAGGTCTCTCTCCATGACTGCTTCAGCCTCTTCACCAAAGAGGAGGAACTGGATTCAGAGAACGCGCCGGTAAGGAGGGGGTGGAGCTTCACAGGTACTATCTGGGGCCGTGGGTGGGACAGCCTCCTGATTCCACAGGGTGCTAGGCCCATCCTGAGTGGGTGGGGCACTGGGGCCTGGCCCCATCACTGCTGCTGTTTGGATGCTGGGACCCAGACAGCACCTCCTGGGAGATGCATGGGATTGGTGACCAGGGGACAGCAACTAGGGGAACTATGGGGTCTGAGGTAGAGGGGCCTGGGGACAGCAACTAGGGGAACTGTGGGGCCTGGGGTAGAGGGGCCAGCAAAGCCAAGGCTGATGCAGGCATGTGGGGTCAGCCGGGACAGGCTGTGGCTGGTGCAGGCATCTGGGGCAGAAGTACTCTGGGTCCTGCTACCTGGGCTCACTTCGCACCTGGCACCCACTGACCAGGGCCATCTCGTGTCTCGGGGCAGGTCTGTGACAAGTGCCGGCAGAGGACAAGAAGCACAAAGAAGCTCACCATCCAGCGCTTCCCCCGCATCCTGGTGTTGCGTATCCTTTGCTCGGCCACAGTGCTTCTGCCGCAAGAGCAGACTGTGGGGGGGGCTGCCCCACCCCCTGTCAAAGACACTCCAGCTGCAGCCCCTGCCTCACTACTGCTGCTCTGGGCTGTGGGTGTCAGGATTGGCCTGATCCTTTCCATGATCAATGCTGGCACTGCAAACTGGAGGGACATGCCTGGCCAATGCCTTCCTGCCAGGCTGGGCTTCCCAAAGGAGGCCTGGGACTGGGTCAGAGGGGAGGGCTGGCCCCACATGCCTGTGCTCCTCTCCCAGCTTGCAGGATGTGACACCTTAGCAGTCAGAATGCAACCTGCTTATCTGCTCTCTGCCCTGAGCCTCACCTCACTCAGCTTGGGACTGGGAGCTCTTAAGCATAGGTGTCCCTGGCACTGGTGCTGCCAGTGTGGAGAGTTTCCTGCTCACCCCAAGCTGTTTAGCCTGATATCCGCCCTGTGCTGCTGCTTGGTGCCCTCAGCTGTTACCTCCCTTGACCTGTGCCCTGCCCAGACCTGAACAGGTTCTCTACTACCCGCTATTCCATAAAGAAGTGCTCGGTCTTTGTGGAGTTCCCTCTGCAGCAGCTCAACCTGAAGGAGTTTGCTAGTGAGAAGGCAGGTGAGCATCTGGGCCACCCTGGCTGCTGTGCCTGCTGTCTGTGCAGCATGGTGGCTGGCTGGGAGCAGAGCCTGGGTCCTATAACATAGGCTGCCCTTTATCCGAGCACGGTGCTTTGTTGCAACCCAAGATCCCTGTGTGGAGGTCCCGGCTCCATTGAAGCTTCTTGTGTCCATGCTGCGAGTCCAGGCAGCTGACAGCGCTAGGGCACTCACTGAGGCTGTGGAGGCCGGGGTTCCACTCCAGGCTCTGCCTAATTCTAATCTAGCCCTTGGGCCTGTGAATGCCAGCACTGGTAGTGGATGCCCCAGCGGCGTGGCTCCTGCACCCTGGTGTGACAGAGTTTAGGTCTGTTCCACATGAGAATGGGAACAGCGTCCAGGCCTGGATGCTTTTTGTCAGGCAGTGCTGTTGTTTCTAGCCTGGTCCCCCCAGTGCAGGGGCAAATGTTCTCAGAGCAGCAAGCTTGCCCTTACCACCTTGGACTCTTGGAGCTTGGGCACTTCTTGGGATTCAGGCAACAGGGAGTGGAGAGGCCCGGGCCCGGGGTCACAGCCAGGTGCTTGTCCCCTAGGTCAGCCCTCCAGCAGGGCAGCTGGGGGCTGGCATCTGTGATCTTCACTGTGCCAGGGAGAGCGGGTATCAAACACCACTGGAGCAAGGGAGTGGGGAGGTCGGGGTGCACTGGCATGGGGGCAGTTGGGGAGGGTGGGGGAAAGGCTTGGGGCTGAGGACAGCTTGGCAGCAGGAGTAACAGGAGGGGCTGTGATGTGTTCTGCCACTGCACTGGTGTTGGCCATCCAGCATCAGTGACCACAATGCAGCAGCTGCCAGGGCATGCTTGGACAGGTCACTGCCTGGTGTATCCGGCCGGAGTGGCCTGTTGTGAGGTGGTGCTGCGAGCCGTTGCCAGGGTGGGCCAGCGTGGCTGGGTGTGCAAAGCAACATAGCCAAGTGTGCTGACTGCTGCGATGGATTCTCATCTCTGTTGCAGGGAGCCCTGTATACAGCCTGTATGCGCTGTGCAATCACTCGGGCAGCGTGCACTATGGGCACTACACCGCCTTCTGCAGGGACCAGTCTGGCTGGCGGGTGTACAATGATTCCCGGTACGTGTGGGGCTGGGCACGAGGACGGGGCAGGCAGGAGAGATGTTTGGGGCTGGGTGATAGTGTCCCATGTGTTTACAGTGTGAGGGATCCCAGGTTGTGGTCCAGCCAGTGGGTGCTGCTAGCCTGCTGGGGGGCCTCGTCTGCCTGCTAGCAGGTGGCAAACCCTGGTGGCCCAAGCTCCACACAGCTGGAGGCAGTGTCCCCTGGGGGCAACGTGGGCAAGTGCCCTGATGACTCTCGATAGCAACAGGGAGAGGCTGCTGAGGCCCAGCCAATGGCGCCATGTCAGGCTGCCTCTGTCTAGGCTTTGCAGTGGGACCAGCCCCTGTCCTGCCCTGCCCTGCCCTGGGGAGGTGCCTTGGGGACCTCTTACTTGGCAGTGCCTGGTGATACTATGCAGAGCCCAACGCAGGCTCCGGGATGCTGCCTGTTGCAGTCCTGCCTCCTGCTAGGCTTGTTGGGCCCACGGGACAGGGTCCCTTGCCACATGGCTCTGCAGAGCAAGCGCACCATGGAGATGCAGCAGTGCTCATTAGCTGTTGTCCCTGGGGCCAAGCATATCCTCCTGGGGCAGGCACACAGCTAGCAAGCACCTGCCTCCCCATGGGTCCCTCCTGCCCCTGCCGCCCTGGGCTGCTCTGTGCCACAGTGACCTGTCGCCTGGAGGGAGGCAGCCGAGAATAGAGCTGTTCCCGCCTAAGTGGTTTAGCTTAGCATGCTATTCCTGGCCCGTGCCCTTGGCCAGGCCCGTGCAGGGTCAGACCAGGCTGTCCTCACAGCTAAGCTGGCGCGGTGCTAACATGACCTGTCCTTGCAGGGTGACCCCAATCAGTGAGAACCAGGTACAGTCCAGCGAGGGCTACGTGCTCTTCTATGAGCTGGACGACCCACACTGGAAGAAACAATGAAGTGTTGGACCCGAATCCTCTTACCTCAGATCCTGGAGTGGGCTCAGCACAGGGTCCCCATCCTTCCCCTCCTCAGCTTCATCCACAGCCACCTAGGGCCACTGTCCCAGAGGCTGTGCAGCAGGGGAGGGGGTCCTCAAGTGGCTGTGGAGGTGCCTACATGCGCCCAGTGGGCCGTGGAGGTGGGGGCATGCCCATGTGCTGGACACGGGGAGAGGGCCCCGCACCCTGGCTGCAGGGGTGAGCTGGTGGTGCCCCCAGCAGAGTGGGACTGTGCTGCTGTTTTAATGAGTGGCTTTGTACATACGGTGCGTGTGTAAATAGCCCCTGGGCCGCCAGGCTGCTGCCTTTTGTGAATAAATTTACTAAGAAAATAAGCACTAGGCTGATCGTGGGAGGGGAAAAGGGGGGACGGTGGGCTGGGAGACTCCACTGGGGCCCGGACCTAAACGTGGAGTGTGATCTCAGAGCAGGCCTCCTGCCCTGGAAGAAGGAGCTCGAGGGGTCATGCAGCAGGGCAGGGGTGCACTGGGGGCATCCAGCCCTCGCAGTCAGGCTTGGGGTGGTGGCTCCTGTTGGCACGACTGCCCCTATATCCTGTCATCAAGCTGAGCTGGTTTTGCCCTGGTTGAATTGGCGTTCGTGTGGTGCCCCCTTCCCTTGAAGCCGCCTGTCTCAGTGGAGCAGGGCTCCACTTCCCAGGGCCGTGAAGAATGGGCGGAGGGAGAGGGTTGCCGACCCTCTCAGATTGCCTGAGCATCTACCACAATCGGCATCGATCTCCTGTTGACTATTGAAAGCAATCTGGGAGATGTTAATAGGATATTTTAAGAAAATGTAATTAATATTATGTCATGTTGGGGGGATGGGGGGGGACTCATTTCCTGGAATAGCTTTAGTCAGAGTCAACCACCCAAGTGTGGGCTCAGACCCACGGCCAGCCCTGGGGGCTAGGATTGCCCGTCTTGCCTGGAAGGGGCTGCACTGGTGCGCTGGGCTGAGAGCCCCCGAGCCGGGCCCGGGGCCCTGGGCCGGATGTCTGGTCCTTGCTGGGGCTGGGCCCTGCCGCCTGGCTGCTTGTGCGGGCGTAGGAGCAGCAAAGCGGCCGTGCCTGGGAGAGCCAGGGCTCCCCGCAGCTCTGGTTTGCGCTGGAAGGGGCCCGGGT